CGCCAGATCAGCCGCAACAACCGGCAGGTGGTGGAAGACCCCCCCTTCCACCCGTTCCCGGCTCAACCAGGGGCGGCGGGGGCGGGGGGCGCCCGGAGGCCGGCGCGCCAGTTCGCCGGCCTCGCGTTCACCAGCGACGGACTTGATTCCAATTTCAGCAATCGTGGCCCATGGACTGCTAGGCGGTGATTGTACAGTTCACACAGGTCACAGAGGTTGGGTTGGGATAGCGGCTGATGAATCCCTCGTACCTAGCACAGAGTGGGCACATTTCGTAGATGAATTATCCCCGTTGCGCGTCGAAGCGACGAACCCGCCTCTCCGCGAGAACATTCAAACATTGTCTTTTGCCAAGAAATGTCAAGCAATCAGCGTTGCCGCCGAAACAAACGAACACGGATGGGTCGCGTTCATAGGAGAGCTCGTTTTTGCGATGGAATGTTCTGGTAATGCAGTGCAGGAGTCGTTCCAGCCCATGCGTAAGATTACGAACGCTTGTAATGCGTATGATCATTGGAACATGATTTCCAATGTGAATGGGAATTCCACGACCTTCTTTTACAAAATGAGTGGCAATGATTCGACGGAGAGGACCAAGCGCAGGGTGAGTACACTCTAGGGGACAACGCACGCGGTTGCGCCCAGAAGGCCGCGGCCGCATCGACCGGCAGCGATATGCGAAGACAGCTCGCGGACACCGACTGGTTGGATAAGCCTCCTTTCGAATGCTGGGGCAAGGAGGGCGATTATCGCTTTGCCAATGTTTTTTTTTGAGTTTGGACGACGTGCCCGATGGCAGTGCAGGGCTACTTTCAGGGGCTACGACGAATGGATTCAGAGTTGCTTGGAAGAGTGGCTACCGGAGTTTTGTCGGGGGCCTTTGCATTCGTCGCGACGTCAGCCCGCGCGCCCCCAGCAACGCGACCCGCGTTTCAACGGCGGCGGTGAACGCCGGCGCTGGATCCCAGGAGCGGGTCATCTTGAGCCCGGGACAATGCGGGGCGACATCGCGACATTTGTTCTAGCCGAAGTGAACGCGTGCATCGAGCGGCGCATGGCTGCCGACAGATTTCCAGAGATAGCGATTTTGGACGGAGCGTCTTTTTTTCGATCATTGGTGCACTCACCACATGATAAGTCTCATTTAATTGAGCCCTCCTGAGGGGGCAGACGCCGCCGCCCCAATTTTTTGGGAACCCGGAGTTTTTCTGCGGGGGTGTCCGCAGCGACCCCAGAGGGTCCGAGAAGGTTGGGGGGGCGGGCTTGGATCCCAGGGCAATGGGGTAGTAGTGCTGAGGATTCTTGCTAAGGTTTAGTGTTCAGGATGTGTGCGTGGGTTAGTGTTGCGTATTCGTAATAGGGATTGTTGTTAAGAGTCCGTTTTAAGATTTACTGTTGTGGATGAGCGGTAAGTATGGGCTAGCGTTGCGGGCTGGCGTTGAGGATTTGCGTCTTGGAATAGGGTGAGCTATCGGTGCGAATGAGCAATGTAGAAGGGATCGCGTTAAGGATGCGAGTCCCCGAGGCCGAGCCTGATACAGTCCCATTTGGGGCGTGCTCGTACTATTAAGCGCGAAGCCCAGTGGGACCGCGGTTCGGCCGGGCTCAATGTGAGCGTCCAGCTGGTTGATTCAGCTGGGAAGCTCACGTGGGAGAGTTGCAAACGCGGTTGCAGCCAAGGCGCCTTTGGCGAGTGCAGGCCCAGCTCAAGGGGCCAAAAGGTTGCGCGGGCCCCAAGGGGCTGAATGCATCCATCGGGGCAGCTCTCGGGTAGCGGCGCCGCTGCCACAGACCGCCGGCAGGCGCTGATTGGGGGCGCGGGAAATTTGGGAGGCGTGGTGGAGGAGAAGGAGGGCCATGAGAAACAAGCCGTCGCGGGGGAGGGGCGGGGGTCGAATGCGGCGTCAGATGGTCTCGGAAGACGTCGCCAAACTGGCGTGCCACAGGGCGAGAGGGGAGTCTAAAATAGCTCCTCCTCCACCTCGACGCGGAGTTTGTGGGGGGGAGGAGGCAAGATGGCCCCAGAGGGCCCAAGAAGACGCGGAAGAGGGCCGAATGATGCCACCAGAGGGCCCCAAGAGGCTCCGAAAACGGCCCGGCAGGACACCCGAAGGCGACGAAAACGGCGGGGGAGATTGGGGCGCGATACGGAGAGGCGAAAAGGGCCAGCACCGCGAGCTGTTCCGGGCCTCAGAAGGCCCTCCACGGCCCCCCTTGGGCGCGCCCCAGACGGCCCAGGAGGGCGCCCAAAGGGCGGCCAGACGGTCGAACGCAGGTCCAGGAGACGTTGAGGACGGCCCGGGAGGCCTCGTAGATATCCCAGCGTGGCCTGAGAGGCCCCAAGAGTGGCGCAAGATACTGCGAGAGGGCCCCAAGAGGCGCAAAGAGGAGGCGGAAACGGCCCAAATCATAGAAATCCTTTTGGTTTTTGGAGGTTTTTGGGTTCCTCCGTTTTTCGCCCGAGCATGCCTCGAAGAGGGCTTCGAAGAGATCCGAGACGGCCTCGGCGGGCTCGAAAGGGGTGCCAGAGGAGCCCAAGAGGGCTCCAAGAGGCTCCGAAGACTGCCCCAGAGGGCTTCGGGGAGGCCCCAAACGGCGCCCAGAGGCGTTCGGCTGTCTCTCGAGCGAAGGCCTGCTTGAGTTGAAGGCAAAATGGCTTCCAGCGGACGCTCAGCGCGCAGCCTGGGCCCCGGGGCCAGCGGAATGAGCAGGCCCGGGGAGGGCCCCGGGAGGGGTCGCCAGGGCTCTGAGGAAAGGAGCTGGCATTTACGAGGAGTGCGTGGGCAAGGGGATTGAGGGGGAAGAGTTTTTGCAGACCATGCGTCGGGGATTCCACGCGCCGTGCACGGTGGGCCCTTTGCTCATTCCGCCGGTCCGCATTGTGCTATCGCAGGCGTTTGCCTGCGCGTTCGTGGCCTCTTGGAGGCCGTTTGGGGGCCTCTTGGAGCTTCTTCTTTGGCTTTTTGGCGGGCGGTATTTATGAGACCTCTTGGGGCGTCGCGGGGGCCTATTCGGTTCCTCTTGGGAGTCTCTTGGGGCCTCTCGGGGATGTCCCAGGGGCTTTTTAGGTGCCTCTTGGGGCCTCCAGGGGGCCTCTCTGCGCCTGGAGCTCGGAATGTCCATTTGGCCTCCCCCGTCTGGGCCCGCTCTTGGAGCCGTCTTGGGATGATTTGTCGTAGCGCTCTTCGTTCGAGGATTGAGGCCCATTAACTTTAAAAGAGAGGCGGTATAGCGAACGCCATATCCGACGCTGTCTTGCCTCAAGGCAGCGCTGTCCGCGCAGACCTGTGTAACTCTGTTTGCGGGTTATAGCAGCGGACAAAGGCCACGTCCTTTTATGATCCACCTCCCATTCCCATGGCTTCTCTCTTACCTCTCGTACTGCTTGCCATCGAGGGATGAGTTGTGGGATGCCTCGATAGGTCGTCGACGTCATCCTCAGAGTATGATTATCGCTCACGTATTGCCTCGTGGTCAAGCCCTGTACCCTTACTCTTCACTTGGTAGCGGAGCTGGCTACATATTCATGTGGTTGGCTCCTACATCACGTGTTATGCCAACAACCTACCACGGCACAGTGGAATGCCCGACTGCACCGGCCTTCAGCCATTAGATTCCCAATGCTCTCGAACCAATTGGTAGTTCGCAGTCCTATGCCTCCATTTCCCCACCGCGTGGCCACACGCGCCACGCGCAACCCGAGCACCGATGCTTATCCGCAAGTTGGCGGCCGCGCCAGACCACGCACCCAGTCGCAACCCTACGGGCGCGACACTATCCAATGATAAGCTACCTAACATCGTCAGCTACAGCATGATTATGCACTATGTTAAGGTCGCTATATGTGGAATTATCGTGCTTAGGCTTTGCCGTGGCATGCATGCGAGGGGAGGATTTGGGTGAAACACGCATTCGGGGCCCTTTCTTTGCAAGGATACTGGACAACGTACCAAGGATCGAATCCGTTCGAGCTTGCCTCTGGACCATATTGTAACGCATTTACTTCACCTTTGCCATCTCTACCGACAACTGTGGTGTCCGCGGTTGTTGGGCTCTCGGACTTGGACCGTATGACTTTTGTGGTGGCGGCGGATGGATGTGACCCATACGCGCAGCACCCGCTGGCGCCGAAGATGAGATAAACCCACTTGGCTCACCCATTCCTCCCTCGCTTGCTGGCGGGGCTACCTGGGTACCATGATACTGGACATCCCCTGCGTCTGCCATCTCCTCGTCTTCAAGCTGGAGCTCCCCAGTCGCCGATATGGATTTCTTGTGTTGCTCTGTATCTGAACATATCACCGATGATTCTACTGTCATGTATTTCAACCACGCAACGGTACTTCCAAGCCCCTCCTGCGCTTTGATGTTGCGAATGTTTGATCGGTCAAGTACTGAGAGCATGACCGTGCCATCTGGAGCAACCACTTCATCACTGCAAGTTTGCGGTCCTGTTTCTCTGCATTCTCGAACTCCTGCGCCCTCTTTGCCACGCGGCGTCTGCCATTTTGTGGCGCAACTCGAGTTTGAACTTGTGTTGAATCTGCGACTCTTCTGGCGGCGACAAGCAATCGTGCGAGCTGGCCTCCTCTCGCGTGACGGGCTGGATCTTTGCATTATTCATGCGAACATTCTTCTCGTTCCATGGCTTAACGGTGGGCGCCTTCGGGGTGCCATGCGGTTTGGCACCTCTGCTTGGCGCTACCGTCCGACTTGGAATCCTGTCCCGACGGGGAGTGTGGCCACGACTTGGCTTCTCCCCTATCGCCCTGAGCTGGCTGTAGTACTGACCACACAGACAACGGGTGTGATGTTTAACGTATCTTCCGCACGTGCAGCTCCAACGGGAAATCTGCATGTCTTTCGTCATGGCTGCCGAAGAAACTCTTGAGTGAAAAAGAGAAGAATGGTGCCCGAAAAATGTCTTGGCCTGACCTGGCGGTCACCTGTGGCTAAGAACTGTGCAATGTTTGACCTGAGCCAAAGTGGATTGAGCCAAAATGGCTACGGCCTCCTCCTCCTCCTCCTCCTCCTCCTCCTGTTCCCCTTCCGCTGTGGTCGGCCTTCCGCGCCGTGCTCGCCGCATGGGACAGGACCTGAGCAGCAGGTGCTTTAGAACGGTACGCACGTGCAGGGGTAGGGAGGGAGGCAGAGGAAGGCAGAGACGGGACGGGACGGGATGCAGGGGCGCAGGAGGAGGGTCCTTGCTCTCCTCCCATCCCCTCCCTTCTCTCCCCGCCTCCGGCACTCCCTCCCTCCCTTCTTTCTTCCTCGTCCCGCCCCCTTTCCCGGACCTCCGAAGTATTGATGTTGTCAATGCGCGGTCCCTGAACCTCTCGACAATTTTGCGGACCCCATAATGGCCTCAGATTGCGAGAATGGCGAGAGACTTCTGTTTAGGTTTTAACGAAACCTTGGAGTTCCCAGATTCCTTCTCCCACGCATCCCACCTTCCATCCCCCCTGCCCTCGCCCACTGCCCTCCTCCCCCATGCTGCCCCCCTCCTCCCTGCCCTGCCCATTCCCCCCATGCCCGCTTCTTCCGGCCCCTCACCTCCCCCGCCCCCCCCCACATCCCTACTCCGTGCTTCCACTTCTCCCATCCTCCATCCTGCCTCTTTTTTCCATTAGTATTATTCCTCCTCCTCTTCCTCTTCCTCCTCCTCCTCCCCCCTTTCCTCCGACAGGAGGAGGAGTAGACGGAGTAGAGGAGGAGGAGGAGAAGGAGGAGAAGGAGGAGGAGGATGTCCATGAGGAGGATATCTAGGAGGAGGAGGAGGAGGAGGAGGAGGTCTAGGAGGAGGAGGAGGACGACGTGGAGGAGGAGGAGGAGGAGGAGGAGGAGGAGGAGGGGAGGAGGAGCGCAGCAGAGATGCAAACTGGTCCGCAGTGCTCAGTGCTCAGTGCTCAGGAGGAGGAGGAGGAGGAGGAGGAGGAGGAGGAGGAGGAGGAGAGGAGGAGGAGGGGGGGGTAGGAACGAGAGGGAGCGAGGAGGAGCGAGGAGTAGCGAGGAGGAGGAGGAGGAGGAGGAGGGGCACGAGGAGGAGGAGGACGAGCGGGAGCAGAGGGGGGAGGACAGGGAGGACACCGAGACGCGCCTCCGCATAGACACCACGCGCTCTCCCCCAGAGGTGCGCGTGCCACGGCTTCTGCTCCGCCCGGGACCCCGCCGAGGGCGGCGCGGAACCGCGTTCGTGTTGCGGGCCGCCCCCCCAGGAGCAGAGGGGCACAGTGCGATGTTTGTTGTTTTCAGAGAGGTCGAGGAGGAGGAGGAGGAGGAGGAGGAGGAGGAGGAGACGGAGCAATGAGGAGGAGTGAGGAACGAGAAGGAGGAGAAGGAGGAGGAGGAGGAGGAGGAGGAGAGGAGGAGAAGGAAGGATCTTTGCCAGAGGGTAGTCAGGGATCTTTGCTGGAGGCTTCCAGGCCTCTCCCTGGGTGCCCAAGTGCGGGAAACACGTGACACTACATATGAGGAATAAAACGCGTCTCAAATGCAACCTCCTTTCCTCCGAAGCACTGGCGAAAATCACCGGGGAGAGTCCAGGTTCTGACTTTGGTTCGCGCGCATCGCACGTCGGCTCAAGGCCGCGGGCCAGTTTTCTGGGCGCGGACGCTCATCCAGGGGACAGGCGGTCCATTGCATGTCTTTAATTTCTTGAGATTTGGGCGTGCGGTCGCGGCTAGAAGCGAGACTGAAAAGACAGAGAGCGTCATCAGCAGAGTCGTCAGCATCTATAGCCTCTGCCAGGTCTGTTGTCAGCGAGGTTATCACGTTCTCACTCAGAGTAGTTCCGCATACCGCAGAGGAGTAGGCCTCGTGTGCTCGCCCAGGAATGCCGACGGTGGGTTCACGATTCATCCTTTTCATATGTGGTTGCAGCGGCTTCCTTCCCAGGCACCGTCGGGCGGATCGGAATCCCACGACCTACAGCAGCTATCGATCATGTACGTGGGCAGGTGGGGCCGTGGCGCCATTTTCTGGAGCGGCCAACGAAGTCAAAGATGGGCGACTTACAAGCTTGGGTCTGGACCCGAGTTATGTCTCAAGATGTTCTTTCATTATTGTATTGCTTGGTCGAACTTTTGGAACACATGGCACCTGCAATAGCAACGAGTCTGTCGCAAAAATGGCACTGGCCAGCTATATTCAATATTTTGCAATTGTGCCTGGCTTATGCGAGGTTGCGTCGAGTATTGCGGGAGCGACAAACACCGCAGTGGTTCACCAAAGTTTGGCGTTTTCTCCCACAACCGGTCCGTGGTCATTCGTATCATTGGGATGCTACGGTCACGTGTGTTTCATGGATGGTGGTGCAGGGGCCGCTCTCTACATCTTGTTTAATCACGTGGGCTCACACATTGGAAAAACAATGTGCAGCGGCAGAATAATAAGATCGGTCTTCCGCTTCCTTTGTGTGAACATTGGGGCTGCATTAGTTTTCACGTGTCGATCTGGGCAAAAGTACATGGTACCGAACGCTGCGAAAAAGCATCGAGAGCATATCGTTTCTCCCATGTTGATTTACCAGAGCGAGCAACAAGCTCTCGCTATTGAAAGTTATTTGGTCAGTTGTGGTGGGCCAAACATGAATACACGAGACAAAGGTGGTCACCAGCAACGTGTTCAAGCTCTTCGGCCGGATAAAGGTGTACGTCGGCGCCCGCCGAAGTACGCCCGTGTTATCAACAAATTGGGTTCGGATGTGGTGATATCTCCAGCATCATGCGTTCTGGGGCCAGAGGCATTCCTTCTGTCCGTCGGAGGCGCGACTACAGCGGTATGAAATGGCAAGCCTGGGTTGTTCGACGGCTGGGGACCAAGTCCGATCGTGCCCTTCAACAAGATGCATGTGCTGCTGCAGGCGAGGTGGCTGGTGTACAAGGGCTTGATCGGTCCATTGCACTTGGTCGACACTGCCGGAATGGGTCTGTGCATGGCGTATTTTTCAACAGAAAAATCACAGGTATGGCATCCGAGTTCTTGGGATAATATTTCAATCGTTGTTCGTTTGAATGAATCAGTGTCGCGGGTTTCCACAGTCATTAACACAAGTATTGGGCGAATGCGAGCGAGGAGAACCTTAGGCGTAGCATTGAAGAGGTTCCACTTCCCGCCGAGCAGGCTCGCCCCGATCCATATCGATCCCGCCATTCAAGCATTTCAGCCAGAGTTTCGCAGAGTTGTCTTCGAAGGCTTGAAAAGGGTCCGAAATGCGAGCGTGAGGGCCTGGCAGATGAGCAACTTGACCTTTGCAGTCGTGAGGCGCGAAGTTCGGAAATATTCCATCAATGCAAAAAGACATGTCCGTTCCTTCCGCGAGGCAGAATTCCAGGAATTCTCAGACGAGGAACTAGGGCAGCTAGGCAATTTTGCTTCGCTTCGAGCGCGCGCCGGGCCGTGGCGCATGTCGGAGTGGCCAGTGAGCCGCGACTTTGAAAAATCATTCGCAAATTTGCGGGACCAGAGGTCCCATAGGCATTTGTTGCAGCCGCGTGTTCGCAGTCGCAGGTCTGTGAGACAGGGGGCGAGGCCATTCTTCCGTTCGATTTCGTTCCCGGCCCGCCCAGAGCCGCGGCGCGTGGTTGAAGGTGCTACGCGGGAGGCCGTGAGCACGTTCTCTTGTTGAGTACAGGACGACCGTGAGAGCGGCAAGGTTGGGGGTGCTTCCCCATAGAGCTCCAGGCGAGCGCCCTTCAGGGGATTGTTGCAGACCCCGCCTTGGCCGCACATGTAAAAACAGCGCCAGCAGACCTGCGAGCAGGGTATGCTCGTGCTTTCGCGGGCCCCCCCGTCCTTTCTCCGCCCTCCTCGCCCCTCCCGCTCGCCCACTCCCCCTCCCCTCCTTTGGCGCTCCATCAAGAGTAAGTGCTCCAGCAATGACGGCGAGCGCGTGTGTGCGCAACCAGGGCATGCTTGCGTACGTAGGGTTTTTGATTGCAGTCGAACTCCGCTTCGGGCCGTTTGGCGCGTCCCGGGGCGGGCGATGCGCGGCGCGATCGGAGTGCTCGGGGGTCACGAAGTCCAGGATGCGTCGGCGGTTGGGCCGAGACCCAAGAGCATGCTGGACACGCTATATCCCCCAAGTAGGGATGATCGAGGCGAGCATCGATGGGCCAGGTACGGGAAGCAAACGCGGCCTTCTATCTTTGTGCTGCCTTGACATTGACCAGGCGTTCGAGGCCTGCCAGGTCGATGTGATTCCAGGGGGCTGGAGCCAGGCGTCGGCTGCGCGCGTTGCTACCACGGCGAGCGAGGGCGTTTTAGTCAGGAAAAGCTTGCGGTGCGCCACGCGAGCCCGGAACGGTTTCTTCTCCGCGGCTCGGCGGTTGCTGGGCATGGGAGATCTGGGAGAAGGATTGCGAGCAGCCTCTCTTGCCGGCACCTCCTGCGCTACGGGGGACTTGGTGCTGCGATTGAGCAGGCTGCCCATCGGAGGTGCGATCTGCGGCTGCGTCTGCGCGTCTCGCCGCAGCGGAGGGGGTCGGACCTTGGGCGCCCGCGACGCACGATCGCTTCCAACAGTTATGGTTTCGTCTGCAGTCTTCTCGGGAATTGGACTGGCTGAGGTACGCGGATGACGCGTCGGCGGGGAGTCGCGCGCATTGCGGGGCCTGTCTTGGGGTATTCTTCCACAAGTTGAATTCCGAAGCAACGTCGGAGGTGTTCGACAGCGACACATCTCATGACCAAGTGCGCGTTTGGGCGACGTTGGAGATTCATCGGCGGCAAAATCGCGCGCGGCGGACGCTGGAAATCTCGGCAGTGCTTGGATGTATGGAGAGTCCTCAAAGGGGGCCTACGCAGCGTCTGCCACGGCTGGGGGCTTCGCCAGCAAGTTTCAGCTAGATTCGCGGGGCGCTCGTCGGCAGATTGGCAGCGGGCCAAGATGCTTTGGTCACTGTGGAGGCCCAATATGCGTTTGTTTTTGAAGCGGCATGTGGATGCGATTGGACTATCCTCTCCCGTTCTTGCGGAAGGTGCCTCATTCGATCCCATCCGCGCATCCTGCAGCAGCGAAGGATCGCGAGGTCATTCGGGCGTTCATCGGGATGAAGCGCTCGTTCCCGCGCGGCGGCCCCCGCGGGGCCAATGGTTCCATTGGCCAGGCGGCCCGCGTCGGCGCGGCGGGGGCGGCGGTTCTCGTCGCCGTCGCAACTCCCGCTCGAGGAGTTCCTCGTCGGCGGACGCAAGCACGGCGTGCGGGGTTGAGAATGCCGAGAAAACCTTCGAGAAGCACGACCCGGCGTTCGCCAAGCACGCGAAGGCGCAGGTTGACAAGGAGGCCGAAAAGGCACATGCACTTCGGGGGAAATCGATCGCAGACGCCCCGCGGGCGACAGGAGTTGCGGGCCCGGCCGCCGCCCAGGCCCGCGGGCCGCCCGGCGGCCCAGCCAGAAAGTCGCGGCTTCACGCCGCGGCAGCTCGAGCGGATCAAGGAGCTTATCCACGCCGCAGGCGGCCGGGGGCCAGCCGGGGCACCCCAGCCCGCCGGAGAAGCAGCGCGAGGGCATCAAGAAGGTCTTCAACAACAGGATCACGCGCACCGACAACAAGGGCGTCTTTCGCGGAGCTCGCCGCGCAATGGACGGCGAAGTCGTTCCAGAAGAGCTTTAACACGTTCGCGACGGAGCAGGGCGGGGAAGAAGCAGCGCGGCATTTGGCCGAGGCACAGGCGGACTTCATCTTGGGCCTGTTCGACCAGCGATGAGATTATAATGCCGCTGCGTGCATTGTTCCTTCCATGGGCGCCCTTCCGGCACAGAGCAAGAGTGCGTCGTGGTTTAGTTGTTTTGTTGTGGCGCGACGCGCGTGGCTTTCCTGCTGGCGACCACTTGGTGGGACACATTGGCACTGGTGTGGCTGTTTCTCATCGACGTCGCAGATCGCCCCGTCAACCTCGCCGCCGTTCTGCTTCGGGGTCTTAGCCAGCATTCGCTGGAGAGGCAGATCACCCGGGAGGTTCAAAACGCAACTGGTGGCGCTCTCAAGTCGTGCGTGGGGGCAAAATTTGGACATGTAGTCGCCTGTGTATGTTGGGGATGGCTCAAAAAATAGTTGCGATCCAGCCGTAGATTCGGGCGGGCCTTCCGGGCGCGGGGTGGCCGCTTAGGCTTTGAGGGCTCCGGCGGTCTGGAGTGTCGCGGACAGGCGCGGAGTAGTCAGAGTCTTTGAATCAGATTGGGCTCCGGCCCGGGGGGGGTCTTGGAGAGCCCGG